CACCAACCACAAGGCCACTGCACCACCACCCTTGGGTCTTGTATAATGGTTAAAATTACTCTTTTGTACAACAAACATTCTCAAAATAGCTGCATAAAACCACAGCCCTACCTCATCATCTTCAGTATCAGGAGTTTCAGGTTCAAAGTTATCTAAAGAACCAAGAAGTTGTTCCTGTTGATAACACCAAAATAAAACTGAATTATTTGTTACATGGAAATTTTAGTATGGTTTTTACAAGTATTACAATAAAGTGCCAATATATAGCAACCATTCGCTTTGTTTTTAACAGCACGCTTTAAAAAGTACAAAGCAATTGACTCAAAAATCAGGATGAAAAACAGCAAAATTTTGTTATCCCTTAAATTCCAGAAGTGATCAAACTCTAATTTCTCATTTCAATACTGATGCATCATCAGGCAAACAGGTGACAAGTATAAAGAAAATTTTCAACTGAGTCGTATTATCTTGATGTGACACCACCTTCCCAGAACTGACATTCAAAGAACTGATGGCTGTCAGTAAGAGAAAAGGACTCAAGTAAACAAGACTTCAAAAGAAACTTCTCGTTTGTAAATCAATTTTAAGTCTATTAAAATAAGTTATCCTGTCTTGGATTTAATCAAAGTCTTGCAACAATATACAATGATCTTACTAGTTAGAGTACCCTGAGTGTTCACTCCAAGATGGTAAAAGACAAATTCCAGATCCTGGGAAAACCGTTCCAAGACCCTTGTGTATCTACCATGGGAAATTCCATCACTTTACTTGAAGAGATATTTTAAATATAAGGCATCAACAAGATTCTCAGGAAGTTTGCTTTTCTGGTATATATCATACTATAAATACAGATGTGTTGTGTGGTGTGTGTTTGACCATTTTATACATAATCAGCTTGCAAACTGGTAATCTAGCATTTTTAACCCAGTGGTTATTTGAGGTTGCCAGTACCCTTACAAAATTATAACTTTTAATTACAAGAGAGACCAGGGAGAGGGGATTCTCCTAAGGAGAATGTGCTGCCTTTGTATTTTGTTAAATCTGCAAATGGTTAGACATTCAAGGCTTCTGGGATAAGGACTGTAAACTGTAGGCCTCGTCTCCTGCATCTTCAGTGTTACATGATTAGCAGGGGACGTTAAAGAACCCACACACTTATCGAAAAGAATAGGTCACGTAGTTCCCAGTGTTGTGGTACGGCCTTGTCTCACAGGTTGGTGCTTTGCATAGGGTAAACCTCATTTCACCTTTCCTCCTTGGAAAGAATTGTCTAAGAAAAATTGCTATGAATACAACTACTATGACTAATACAAACTGTACATTGCACTCTGCACTACCCGATATTAAGTTGGCATCCCTGCAGGAAGCTTAACCAATTAATTCAATTAGAGTTCTGTTTTAATAACTCATTGTCAAACTTCCAACATATTAAATATTAGGCTTACTGTACCAGTCATTTATAGTAAAGAAATTTAGCCTCTTCATCAGTGAATAAGAAGCAACTGTTGCTTTTTATCCACTGATGAAGAGGCAGCAGCCTCGAAACGTATGGAGGTTTACGTACTTTTCGTGCATTAATGAATATTTACAAAATATCTTTATATAACAAACTTTGCGCAACGCAGTTTTCTTCTTGTTTAGTCAGTTATAGTTATTACTAGTTACGAGCAGTTAATCAAAGCATGAAAGCAATGATAAATTGTACCATACCAATTTGTCTCGTAATTCGACCAGTTTCTCGACTCTTCTTCTGCGCTCCAATCCTATCAACTCGTCGACATTAGTTTGTTTTTTCCTGGAGAATTGATACCACAAATAGAGCGCACCAGACGCAGCCACGATACCGTACAGCATTGGCCTGCCATAGCGACTCAAAAAGCTTGACATGATGATGTGCGAATAGTTAAGAATGAGCAACACTTATGTTATTACAATATTAGAGAGTCAACACTCCACATTCATCGCAGGAAAACCAAAGACAATCACAACTTTACGACAAGTTTCGCTCTGAACAAACTGTAAAACATTTCGGGAATCATGGGAAGGCGCCAGTCCTGACCTGGTGGGGTGGGGTGGGGTGGGGTGAGGCGGTTCTCTGGGGAAACCGTTTTCGTCATTAACTTTAAGATCTTGGACCGGATTTATGAAGTTCCCCTAAATTAAGATACATTCTAGGCAACAGATTACATAGAGCTAACCTAGCAGGGCTTAGAGGACTGGCTGAGATTAGCCATGCAGCCACCTGCAGTGTCGGTTCAGTTATGCCAGCAGATCTTGTGAATCAAAGGCATCTGCGGTCAAGCATCGATCGATACCCTTGATCAACCCATGATCAACACTCGATCGACATGTCAATCGTCATCCTGATTGATACTCAGTTGACAATCAATCAACATCTCAATAACTCGACACTCCATCGCTGGTTTGACAGTTGGTCAATTGTCGGATGAGTGTCGAAAAATCACAAGTCAAAAATTAGTTGACTCCCGACCAAATGTTGACTGAGATGTTGATCAAATATGTCAACCGAGGTGTTGATGGAGTGTCGATCAAGATGTCAACTGAGGGTATTGATCAAGGGTATTGATCAACACTCTACCGCAGATGCCTTCAGTACACATTATCTGTACCAAATAGGCAGCCAACAGTATGGATAGTGAAAAACACATTTTGAGACCAAGACCCAGAAACCATTAAAAAATATCTTCAGAAATGTTTGGAACATCCAAAGAGAAGGTGTGGTTTGGTCTCCTAGAAAGTTCCAGCACTCTCAGCATGCCTGCAACTCAGAAAAAGTGGACAGGTATACAAACTGTTGCTGCAGTTGTGGACAAGGGGAACATAACAGCTAATAATAAATTGACAGTGATGAAAGTAAAATAACTGCTGTTACAGTAGTGAATATGGGTCTGACTGATGTCTCGAGTACTAGCAAATTCATCTAACACTCTTATTGTCAGCTTTCCAAATTCACTATCGCGGGCTTTCAACTTTAGGTTGATTAGTACATGTAGCCAAAATTTACCACACATTCTGTCAAAGGATACCTTTCCCTCAGTAAGAATTACAATCACACATTATTATGTTTTACTCCTGTTCTTGTTTTATTTATAAAATATATTTTGTGGCACTAACAATTCAATTGTAAGCTGATGCTAAGCACTAGAAATATAAGATAATTAGGACTTACATCAACAAACATAAACCTGACAAGACACCAGGAGAACTTCAGCGATGTGTTCAAGTACAGGGCTATTGCGATACAAAATTTATCATTAAAAAGCGATCCACAAGTATTATTGAACCCCAAGTTATTTGCTGTCCTTGAAAAGGCCGGTCAATAAATTCTCGTGAGTCACTTGAGCCATTTCGTTCCATTTGATTGATTCCCGTGCCAGACATTCCAAAGGCAATATAGTGCCATAAATGGCAAAATTCGTTAATCTTACCACACTAAAACTAAAATTTATCTCCTAAAAAGCATTTTGGTAAAAAGTAGACCGTTAAAAAATTCCCTCAACAAAAACAGGCTTTACTGAAACGATTCTTGCAGCGTTAATCGTTGTCGTCCTTTTTGCCGTGTTTTAAGATGTGAGTAAACTTCGTGAAATCCAGATAACCATCTTTGTCGATCGGGGCGTCACGAAGCACGTCATCTACTTGGTCTTCAGTGAATCTGTCTCCCATAGTAGTTAGGGCCTCTTTAAGTAATTCTTCATGTACTTTGCCGTTGCCATCTTCGTCAAAACAGGCAAAAGCGTTATTTATCACGTCTTCAGGGTCTGTCCCGTTCAGTTTCTCGCCAAACAATGTTAAAAACATTGTAAAGTTTATAGGACCCGGTGACATTTTCACCATCTCTTCCAAGTACTCGTCGGTAGGATCTTTACCCAGTGAAGCCAGCATATCGTGCAAATCCTCTTTATCAACAAAACCATCGCTGTTTTGATCTATCATGTTGAAGGCCTCTTTGAATTCTTGAATTTGGTTCTGATCGAACATGGCAAATACATTCGAAGTGGCTCGATGGGCCCGCTTTTTTGTGGTCTTTTTCGTCTTTCTTGACGCCATGCTGCTCTCTGGGTTGTACAACAGACGAAATCGGAACAACGACGACACACAGACGCTATCTCACAAACAGTTTTCGCGTAAAAATTTTACACAGCACCTCCCAAATTATACAAATGAAACACGAACCCTGAAGCTTTCACTTTCCCGGATATTGGAGCCCAGGCCAATACAAGTGACGAAACCATGAAGTAATTTCCGGTTTCCCACACCGGAAGTTTGAGAATACCATACAAGGTTTCAGGGAGTCCGAAAAGGAATAATGGTCAATAATCTTTCCACATGATCATGAAGAAGATGCATATCTGGGTCTGGTATTCGAAAGCTGATCAGTCCCAAACTTCTCTTCTGAATTTTACATTTTACTGTTGGCTCAAGTCTTTTATTTTATTTATTTTATGTGTCCCCTATTAGTAGAGGGTTTTTTATCCTCGGCTAGAATGTATTTGA